AAAGATTGAGTTTTTTGAACAAACAGAAGAAACAATATTAGGTTATGCAAAAGAGAGAGAGAGAGAGAAGATGAAAAATAAGAAAGAAATATCAGGATTAGTTATAATTGTTTTACTATTCACTTTCTATATTAGGGTTTATATATTACAAGTGAATATCAACAACCAATAACTTCTCTCAACACCCTGAGAAAACTAGTCTATTTTTAGACTATTGAGCTAACTTTAAGTAACAAGTTATCTTTAAAAATTGGGCTAACAAGTTGGCCTAATTCGACATGCTAACAACATATCATATTTTTGACAACATGTGAATAGACTTCGACTTTATGCTCAACCTCTGTCGAACCATGGAAGCTACCCTTGTCGGACGAGAGTTTGATCCAATATACCACTATCCACGTTGGGCCAAACTCTACAACATCACGGGAACTAACTAGCTTTCATCATGCAACTTTATCAAATGCATACAATGGAAAAACTTACAGCTTGGTAATGTCATGGTGATCATATCAACAGCATTATCTTCATTCGAAACCTTCAGCACTTGGAATTCTCCACGCTTGATTATTTGTCTGATGAAATGAAGCCTTACATTGATATGCTTGGTTCGCTCATGATAGGCTGAATTCTTTGATATGTGTATTGCACTTTGGCTGTCACATTTAACAGTAATAGTTCGACCTTGAAGTTTCAGCTCCTTAGAAAAATCTTCAAGCCACAATGCTTCTTTCACAACTTCAGTGAGGAAAATATATTAGCCTTCAGTGGTTAATAAGGCAACAAACTTTTGAAGTGTCACTTTCTAACTAATTGATGTGCCAAACATAGTTAACACATATCCAAAAATAAATTTTCTAGAATCCATACAACCTGTATAATCAGAGTCAACATATCCTTCAATTTATACTTTACTATCGTTACCACAGGCTCCACCATAGGCCATGACTCTACTCAGAGACCCATTTATGTACCTTAGAAATAACTTCAATACTTTCCAGTGAGATTTTCCAGGATTGGCTATATGCCTACTTACAAGTCTCACTCCATACGCTAATGTATGACCTTGTATAAACCATAACATACATAAAAGAACCTATTATACTATCATATGGAATGTTATTCATATAGGCTATTTCGACTTTAATACTAGGACTTTGAGTCGTACTTGGCTTAAATTGAGGATTAATTAGTGTTACAATAGGCTTTGAATTTGACATACCAAACTTGCTGAGAGTCTTCCTCAAATATGTTTCTTGAGATAAGCATAATCTCGACTAGTTTTTATCTCTATGGATGTCAATCTCGAGAACTTTGGAGGCAGCTCCCAGATCCTTCATGACGAACTCCTTATCAAGTTCATCCTTCACCTTTTCTATATCCTCGTCATTGTTGCTTGCTATGAGGATGTCGAATATCCTACTCTATTGTCGAGGAGATTGTTTCAGTCCATACACAGACCTATTCAGTTTTCACACACAAGCCTCATTTACCTTTTCTTCATACCCTTCAGGTTTCTTCATGATGATTGTTTCATCTAGATCACCATACAAGAAAGCAATATTCACATCCATTTGTTCAAGTTCTAGGTATAACTTTGCCACCATGGCTAACAACATTCCAATGGACTATGCTTGATAACATGTAAGAACATATCATTAAATTCGACTCCTTATTCCTGAGTGAACCCTCTTGCTACCAACCTTTCCTTGTATCTCTTCGACATCACTCCTTCGATTCCTTCCTTAACCTTGAAAATCCATTTACAACTGACTAACCTGACCCCTGCAAGTTTCTTGATCAGCTCCCAAGTATGGTTATCATGAAGATATTTTATCTCATCATCCATAGTCTTCAGCCATTCAATCTTATTTTGACTCCTCAAACCTCCTTGTAGTCTCTAGATTCTTCATCAAGAACTTCACTTATAGAGATTAAGGAAAACACTATGAGATATGCATAACCAAGTCTCTGAGGTAGCTTGATGACTCTTCTCGACCAATATCTTGCCATAAGGTAGTCATTTTTAGTTTCATCATTTTCATCAGTAACTCTGGCTTCTTCTTCAACTTCATCTGGGTTATGCAATTCAGTATCGCTATGCTCTACCTCAACATGAATCTCTTCCTGTTACAATTCTTCGACATAAATTTCTGCATTTCAACCAACATCATCAATATTCCTCAAGTGACCTGGCTCAAGGCACCACAACCTATAAGCTTCAAATCCTTCAGAATACCCAAGGAACATGCATCTTAGAGCTCTAGGTTCTACCTTGTCTTGCCTAATGTGAGCATAGGCTACACAACTAAATACTATAAGTTTGTTGAGATTATGTGGATGTCCCAACCATACTTCTTCAAGTGTATTCATCAGATATGTTGTTGTCAAAACAACCTCAACCTAAAACACCTTTTTCAATTCAGCACTAACTAACATGCATATAACTCTTTCAAAATGGTTGTTACGTGCCTTGCAATACCAGATGCAACATAATAGTTGTTGAAAGCCTCATTGCCAAATTCAAGACCATTGTCGATCCTCAACCACTTGACCTTGTTGCCAGTTAAGTTTTTGACCAGAGTCTTCTAACTTTTGAAATTCTCAAAAGTTTCATCCTTAGTTTTCTGAATGAATATCCACAACTTTCGTGAGTAATCATCAACTATGGATAGAAAATATCTTATACCTGAATGTGAAGGACACCTTGTAGGCCCCCAAAGATCAGCATGGATGTAATCAAGGGATCCATGTGTTATTTGTTTACCTTTGTTAAACTTTACCCTACTTACCAAATACACAAGGTTCGCAAAACTCAAACTTTTCGACCTTGTCACCACATAGAATATTTTGCTTCGAAAATTTGGCCATGCCTTTTTCACTGACATGCTTCGACAATTCGACCTTGACGCAGATTTTATGAATACCACATATGCTAAACCACTTACAACCTAATCCTCAAGGGTATGCATGCCTTGTCTTTTGATGCCTCTCAAGACTTCCTTCAACACCTTCATCACCCTTAGGATAAATTGATATCCTTTAAAAACACATCCTTTCTTGTCAAATTCACCAAGAGAAATAAAATTTATCTTTAGATCAGGTACATACCTGACATCAGTCAATATCTTTATTGACTCATCATGGAGTTTGAATCTTAAAGATCCAATAACTACATTTTTGTAGGCTTTGTTGTTTCCAACAACATTGATCCACCATCTTGATCACATAATTCCTCAAACACATATTTGTTTGGAGTCATGTGCCAAGTGAAACCTGAATCCATGATCCATTCCTTACTCAAATTATTGCTTAAAACTACCAGACATCAAATGATTTACAATAATCTTACACAATACTACCATGATTTTTATGTCAACCAGGGAACAATTTTCATGTGTGGCCCTCTTTCTTACAGTGGTAACACCTAATTGCAGAAGAATTACCACCTTAAGACTTTTGCTGACTTTTACCCTTCTTCTTCTCAAACCAACCATCTTTCTTCAATAATTTCCCCTTAATGAACAAACTTTCACCAACAAACAATGGTTTATTCTCCTTCTGTTCATTCAAATCCTTAGAGTACAAAGTTGATTGAACTTCTTCAAAGGTCAACGAATCTCTTCCATGCAAGAGCGTTTATTTGAAGTGATCATGAAACTTAGGTAAAGAACACAACAATAATATTATTTTATCTTAATCATCGATACTAACCTCAACATTCTCCAGATCAAGAATCAGCTTGTTGAAACATATCCAACTACTCAGCCACGACTTTGTCTTCACCCATCTTAAGTGAATACATAACTTGCTTCAAGTATAGACAACTTACCAAGGGTTTATTCATGTACAATCCTTCGAGTTTCATCCATACACCAGTCATCGTCTTATCCTTCGAAACCTATTGGAGAACCTTATCAACAGGGCTCAACGTGATGGCACTGTGGGCTTTCTCGATCATCGTCTTCTTCTTCTTCTTCTTCTTCTCCATTAGGGAAACATCTATAGCTTCGACAACCTTCAACTATTCTAGAAAACCTTGTTGAACAAGAAGGGCTCACATATTCAAGCGACATAAACCGAAATCACTAATTCTGGTGAATTTCTCAATCTCAAACTTCGTCGATGGTATCTTGTTCCACACTCATCGCACCAGCTTGTTGTAACGGAGTGTCGTCAAGAACAACTCAGAACAATGAGAATGATTGAGTTTATTGAACAAACACAATAAACTCTATTAGGTTTTTCAAAAGAGAGAGAAGCTGGAAGAATAAGAAATAAATATCAGGATTGGTTATAACTGTTTTACTATTCACTTTCTCTATTAGGGTTTACAGATTACAAGTGAAGACCAACAACCAAGAACCTCTCTCAACAATCTGAGAGAACTAGTATTTTATAGACTACTAAGCTAACTTAAGTAACAAGTTATCTTAAATCATTGAACTAATAAGTTGACCCAATTCGACATGCTAACAACATAGCTTATTTTCGATAACAACGTGTGAACAGACTTCGAATCCATACTTAACCTCTATCGAACCATGAAAACTACCCCAGTCAGACCAAAGTTCCATCCAATATACCATGATTTCAAATATATTTAGAAGAACAAAGCTACTTACTCCACTGTAAACATTGAAAAAAAGAAGATTTTCAAGTAATGCACAATACAACATGGTGATTGACCAAACAATAATGATTACGTTTCAAGTAAATCGAGGAACTTCCAAAATTTCTGAGTAGCTAGCAAAGATGTTAATGCCACAATTTTCTTTACAAATTAACATTTTAGTGCCTTTTTGTTATACTCATTAAAATAATGAAGATTAATAAAGAGTTCTTTGAGCGAGGTATAAGGATAATGAAGTAATAACAAGCATCACTCAAATGCAACTAGTAGTCATTCAATACATCAACGTCATAGTTAGAGCAAAAATGAGTCTCTTGTCCTGGATGCTGTTGTAGAAGAGCTTATTCATAAACGCAAACATATATTCATGTTTAAGGAAACATGGCTGAAGGACCTAAAATGTGAAAGATTGATAGATAATTTCTGGAATGGGGCAAGTGTTCAGGGTCTGAATCGCATCCAAGCCATGAAAGCTCTTGATGACCACTTCAAAGATTTTAGAATTGACAATGTGTCGAAGGAGCTGGTCAGAATGGAAAATCTGCTTAAGGAGGAGGATCGTTGGAATGGAAGCAAGGAGGAAATCAACATACTCAAAGCCATTGGAAACCAGTGCAATGAATTGTTGAAAGTGGAGGAAATTATCTGGCGCCAAAAGATTAGAGCGGTGTGGTTGCACCATGAGGATCGCAATACCAAGTTTTTCCATGGTAAGGCGAAGCAAAGAAGAAAAACAAATACCATCAAAAAGAACAAAGACGAAAGTGGTAATTTGTGGAAAGGCCATGACAAATGTGAAAAACTTCTTGTAAACTACTTTGGTGAGTTATTCTCCTCTTCCAATCCCCAACAAATAGATCAGTACTGTGAAGTTTTCAAGAATAGGCTATCTCAAGATCACAAAAGCTGGTGTAAGGAGGCTTTTCAGCTATGGAGGTCAAGGAGGCTCTGCTCCAGATGCATCCTCTCAAGGCCCCAGGTCCTGACGGTTTACCCGTATTATTTTATCATAAGTTTTGGCATATCGTGGGTGCGGACGTGACGGGTACAAAGTGTAACAACTTGTCTTCACCAGCGGATTTTCGTCCCATTAGCTTATGTAATGTAATCATGAATGTGGCGACAAAGACGATAGCAAACCGGTTGAAAAGGTTTTTACCAGAGGTGACTAACGAGGAACAAAATGCTTTTGTTCACGGAAGATTTATAATGGACAATACTCTCATAGCACTGGAATGTTTCTGCTGGCTTAAAAATAAAAAACAAGGGAAGAGGGGTTTAATGGCGCTCAAGTTGGATATGTCGAAAGCATATGATCATTTGGAGTGGGAATTTGTTACAACGACGCTTAGATCAATGTGATTCCCTAGTCACATGGTGGATCTTATCCACATGTGCATTTATATTGCTTTGTACCAGATCCTCATAAATGGACAACCCAACAAGTGCTTATATCTGAAGCGGGGTCTCTGTCAAGGAGACCCTCTATCACCTTACTTATTCATTCTTTGTGCTAATGTTTTTTCAGGTATGATAAAGAAGGAGGTGCAGAGTGACAACATTCACGACATTAAGGTGGTAAGACAATCTCCAACCATTTCCCATTTGTTCTTCGCTGATGATTGTCTCCTGTTCACAAGGGAAAATGTTCAAGAAGCAAGGAAAATTCAATCTATTATGAAAAATTATCAAATGGCCTCGGGGCAAGTGGTGAACTGGGAAAAATCTGAAGCCTCCTCGGCCGCAATGTTGAGGATCATGTGAAAGACGCTATTCGTGAGGAATTGCAAGTGTTAAAAGTTGAAAATCATTTGAAATACCTTGGTCTTCCTGTCACCTTTGGTAAATCAAAGAAAGAAATATTCTCACTTGTCAAAGAGAGAGCGTGGAAGAAGATAAAGGGCTTGAAGGAAAAGTTCTTGTCTAGGGCAGGAAAGGAAGTTCTTATCAAAACAGTGGCTCATGCCATCCTGAATTTCATTATGTCATGTTATAAACTTCCGGTGAGTTACTGCTATGAGATTGAGGCCATGATTGTGAACTTCTGGTGGGGCTCTAAGGATGGGAAGAGAAAGATTTATTGATAAAAATGGGAGAAGTTAGCAAGTGCAAAAAAGGAAGGTGGTATGGGCTTCTGTGGAATCAGTAACTTCAACCAGAGCTTGTTAGGAAACATTATTGGAGACTTTTGAAGGATGAAGAGTCTCTCATTGCTAAGGTTTTGAAAGGAAGATACTACCCTCGAAGCTCAATCTATGTGGCCTTTACATGTTATAATCCAAGCTACGCGTGGAGGAGTATTCTGGGGACAAGAGATGTGGTGGAAAATGGGATGATTTGGAGAATTCACATTGGCGAAAAAGTACGAATTTGGGGTGAGAATTGGCTGCCAGAGATTTCGGGTGTCAAGCTCCACATTACTGATGCCTTTGCAAATTTGGAAGAGAGAGTTTATGAATTAATTGATAGAGATACAGGAAGTTGGAACAGTGGCACGGTTTATATGTGTCTCATCCCTTCGGAGGCAACTATGTCCTTAATATTCCCTTTTCGAGGAGATCTCTGGAGGATGAACAAATCTGGTTTTTTGAGAAGGATGAAACATACTCTATCAAGTCAGCGTACCATATGCTCCAGAAAATCGACACCTCCAAGAATCCTAAACCTTCGGCCTCTCCAAATCAAAAGCTATGGAAGTCTATCTCGCACCTCAATGTTCCTCTAAAAGTTTCTAATTTCCTTTGGCGTTTGGCAAAAAACATCTTGCCCACAAAAACTAATCTTCAAGCAAAAGGTGTTCTTCTCGATACGTTTTGTTCGCTTTGCAACTCAGCTGCTGAATCAAGAGATCACCTCTTTATGCAATGTGAGTTCAGTAAAGCTTATTGCTTCTCTTCTCCTTTAGGCTTTCGTATCCCTGGCGATATGGAGCTGCTTGATTGGCTGGAAAGTGTTTTGAGTTCAACCAACAAGGATAATGCTAGAATCATTGGCATTACCTTGTGGAAAATTTGGACAACCAGGAACAATGTGTTGTATAATTCTAAAATGGCGAAACCGGAAGCCATTGCGACTGAAGCTTGGCAAAGTGTAGAGGAAATTTCAGATGCGAAACAATCGGGAGGTAGAGAGGAAGTTTCGCGTTACAATCCTCTTTTGGAGCAGGTCCCAAAAGATGTCTGTTATGTGCAGGTGGACACGGGGTGTATTGATTCGGGGGTATCACCATTGGGTATATTGCTAAGGACAAAGAGAATAAAGTTTTGGTGGCTTCCTGTAAAAAAGAGTCGATTAGTGTTGAACCAAAGTTAGTGGAGTTGCTTGCCATTCGTTGGTGTTTGATTCTGCTGCAAGACCTGAGTTTCGAGAAAATTCTTATTCAGTCTGATTCTTCTGTAGCAGTCGATTGCATAAATTCAATCTTGTTCAGAGCTGGCGTGAAGCACATAGATTTAGATGTTAGAACTCTTTTAGCTAGCTTTAAGTTTGCAACAGTTGCGATTCTGAATAGGAATTGTATTGATGAAGCGCGTAATCTAGCTTGTTTAGTTAAGATCAGAGGAAACAATATCTGATTTGATGTGTGTCTTTTTGTGGACAATGTTTGTTCTCTTTCTCTTGCCCTTGAAGCCTAATGAATTTGTCTTTCCATAAAAAAAAAAGAGTCTCTTGAATTTCATGACTCCATACTAGAAAGATAAAAAATAAATAAAAAAGAAGATAAGAAGCATTTAAAAAGAATTTCAGAAAGATATTAATTTATTTAAATAAAGGCATGTGTCAAACTTGCAAATTATGTCAAATTAATTTCTTTTGAACTAATACACAATTTAACTGTATTTTATCACTTAAATCTAATAATTTGATTAGCATAATTCAAACAACTTTAACCATACTAGTATCTAAGATAATGATAACAATATAATTAAGATAGAGAAACAATAAATACCTTTATTTTTAAACTAAAGAAACAATAAATACTTGAAGCTTACTTACTTACAGTCTGTCATGATAATCAGTTATGTGAAGTGATATATGACAGGCTGACTAATAGAATGGGGCCACCCCGATAATTACACATCAATATGTCTTGTTCTTAATTTCCACCCACTTTTCTGACATGGACAAGAATTATGTCACTCAAACAATGTTTTTTCTTTTTTTAAACACAAAAATCTTATTATATGCATATTCAATATTAAACCATAGGGGTGGCAAATTTATAATTGACCACATATAAATTGACATATATGTACGCTATTGCCGCCCACCTAATTCAATTCCACTCTGGTTCTCATTTTTCAATGATCATGTGCACAATATAAAGTTTTCAATTTTCAATATTTCAAATACTATAATCCATGATGTTATGTATATGGCTAAGATGGAACCATGTGTTGGATATTTGTAGGCTAGGTTTTGTGTTGAATATGAATTTTTTGTTTGCATGTGTAAGATGAGAGTGACTCATTTCATGGTCGGTTGTTTTTAATTAAATGCTGCAATTTTTGATTTCGTTAGCTTATCTTTGAGCTTCATTGAATGTATTTTGTTGTTGGCTTAATTAATGATGAAATTATGTGCTTATTGTTCATTATGACTAGGACTGACACTGTTTCTTTAACATGGATTAATCCAGTCACTGTCTAAGAATTCCTTAACTTTCTTTTAACCTTTGTTCTATTAGCAATTAGTAATACTAAACGAAGTTTAGTAGCAAATGACACAAATTAGGTACAGATTTTGGAAGAAATGTTCTTAAATGCATTTTCGATTCACGAGTTATAATTTTGAAACAAGAGAAATTTACAAATTGATCAATCTTTCCTGCCCAGGAGGATATATCCCAATGTGTTTTTTTCCTTCAATTTTATAAGTTAACGTGTACTTTCCCGTCCTAAATTATACTTCTTATATTATAAATAAATTTTACTTTTTAAATTTATTAAATAATTAATATATTTATTATAAAAAAAACTCTTATTTGCAATGTGAAATTCACGTCATAATATGAAAAATCACGTCATTATAATTAATTTGCGATGTGAACAATCACGTGACTGGAGAGCGGGTGACAAATTATTTACGACGTGATTTTTATATCACGATGATGTGACGTGAAAATCACATCGCAACTTATTTGATCAGAAATTCTGCAAACACAATAACAGCAGGCGTTGCAGGGACAGAAGTCAGAGCAGTATAAATTTTGTCACGTGATTTTCACGTCAAAAAGTAGTGACGTGAAAATCACGTGACTAAATAAATACATTTAACAATTACATTCAACTTTTTTTTTATAAAAAAAGTTGTGACATAATTTTCACGTCATTGATTTGTGACGTGAAAATCATGTCACTAATTAATTACATTTAGAACGATAGCGCTTTCTTCAACTATTGTTTTTTATAAAAAAACTAAATTGCGATGTGATTTACATGTCACAACTTTGTAACATGTAAATCACGTCACTAATATTGTTCTTTTTTTTTTAATTTAATTGCTGAAATTTGTTTCTCTTTTATAATTAATTAAAATAATAAAATAAATTTAATATATAATAAATTAAATTAATAAATTCAATATATAATAAATTTAATATATTAAATTTAATATAATAAAATTAATAAATTTAAAATTTAAATTTTAAAATTTTTAAGTTTAATATACTAAATATGTTTAATTAATTAGTATTTACACAAATTTTAATTTGGAAGCAAAATATTAAAAAAAAAAAATTTATGGATCATCTTGGTTGGTATAGTTGTCAATGTCAAAATTATCTTCGTTTCTGTCATTCTCCGGCTCTTGACCACGAAAGTTTTAATTTACATCGAACCCCTGCATAAGTTGTCTCATTTGCTGCTCCATATCAACTTGCCTCTTCGTCATGACCTTCATTTGTCGCTGTTGGTCTTGTCGCATTGCCTCCATTTTGGCCTCCATTTGGGACTTCATTGTCGCTTCACGTTGCGTTGACTCGCGTCTCGCTTCATTTAACGCCAATTGTCTTATTGTTTCAAGTTGTTCTGGTGTTAAATTTGATTGACGTGACCCCTATTTTCCATCTCTAACTCTTTAAAATAGAGTTCTATCCCCACTTCTCAAGGTACCCGCCAAATTTCCACCACCAAAAAAACAACTTTTAGGGTCTTTTCCGTCAATAACTTGATCCCAAATATAAAAACCCACATCTGGATGAAGCGTCTCTCTCTCCCTCTCTCTCTCTCTCTCTCTCTCTCTCTCTCTCTCTCTCTCTCTCTCTCTCTCTCTCTCTCTCTCTCGGTATATTGAGGATTATGAATCAAAAAATTTACGAGCAATGTCTGATAATCCTCCTACACATTCAATACAAAAATTAAGTTAAATATATATTAAATTATATTATATTATATTAAAAAATTGCCACGTATTTTCACGCCACGACTGCTCAATTGCCACATGATTTTCATATCACAACTTCTCAGTTGTCACATGAAAATCACGACACAAAATTGTCATTAAATAAAAAATATATAAACAATAAAGAACTTACGAAATCTTTTAGTGTACGTTCGTCAACAAAATCCCCGGTTTTCTTTGTCCGAGTCTTTTTAACCAACTCAATCATTAGTGGTGGTCTCCCTAAAGTCTTGGTCTAAATAATAAAATTAACTTTAATTAATAAAATGAATTATGAATCAAAATATAATTTAAAAAATGGTAATATTTACCATGCGTCGAACATTCTCTGCGGTACTTATACTTTCAACTGCATTAACGCAACCCTCTTTTTCAGATGCCCTCATCTTCTTAAAATTTTTAGATTTAACCTGAAATTCGGGTGACTCCAATATTTAAGAAGTTCCTCAAAAACCTCTTTGCCTATCCAATTGAGACGAATACTCTGAAGTTCCCAACACTCTTTAACACGTCACATTATGTCAGAAAGTCGTCTTGAGGTTCTGTCATAATAATTTTTTTAATCAACTTCTCGTTCAGTGGGTCCCACACACATTTTTCTTGCAATGTTGTATGGCATTAAGATAAATAGTTAGATAATTATAATGAAAAATTCATTTAAATAACAATAACTAAAAAATAA